AGCATGTTGTCTGCCTCAAAATTGGATCTTGATGAATCTTGTGCTCCTTCAATTGCTTTGAGTCACACCCAGTCATGAAAGTCCGTCCGTTCGGCACCTTCTGTGGCTGCCACAGTGGCACCCCCTTAGAATTTCACGGTGGCAGAGTAGGGGAACCCCACAGACAGGAAGAGAAAAAATAGACTGAGAGGCCTACCTATACTAAACGGTTCACATCTATTGGATATACTTATCAATAAAGCAGGGCGATCGGCTCTGAAGAGTAGCATGAAACCTGAAGAGGAAGGTCTTCAGGTTGCGCCTCTGGGGAGGTGCACCTCTATTGAAATCTGCTTGGCACGAGTCAGCCACTTTGAGAACTTCTCAATCGACCTCTTTCGAAAGGTTTTGACATTGCACCTGGGTCGCTGGGTGCACAGACGATACTCCTCAAGTCCCGTTTCTGCTTCAGCGCTGTGATCACAGCATCTGGATCTGAGCTTGGCCTGACACCAGCCGCAAAAGGTTCCAGTTTGCACACATCAAGCACTCTGGCACTCAGGAAAGGAGTCAAATGATGTAGAGACAACAAACCTTGGCAACAGCCTATAGGCGAACACTGCGTACCCAGTTCATGATGTGAAGAGAGCACAGCTCGGACCGCGAACTTCAACTCGTCTATCTTTAATGCCCCATCCTTTGGTGCATCTCAAAGCGTTTTGCCCTTCGTTTCATCAACCCAAGTCTGACTCTTTTTGTTCTGAAATGCCATGGTCCTGGAACTCCTTGGGATGGATATATCTTACAATCGGGCGACCCGCAACCAGGTTGTTGTGTTTCGGACTAGCTGAGGGTCTTTGGGGTCCATGTAGCGGTCTCCGACACCAGGGACAGGAGCCCCGTTTGTTGCGTCCGATCGCTCCTGTGTTTGCTGCCACCCAGCCATCGGATCCAGAAACCTCTTGGGAAGCCGAAACAAGCCGTTTCCGCCTCGAGGACGCCGCTTCTCCCATGAGCTCGGCGAGGGTCTCGCACAAAGGACCCGGGACCCGCTGGAGCTACAGACCACAGAAAGCTTGAAAACAAGAAGAAACAGGGGGTGCATTGATAAACTGGGCCTGACTGCCTCACTAGGCTAAAGCTGTTTCGTGCGTCGCTTGGCTTGCCCTGAAACTTCATCTGAAAAGGGTGCATTGTCCAAAGTAGGCTGTTGTCGGGGCTCCAGCAACGGAGAGGCCAACCCTACTTACAGTAATTCTTTGGAAGGCCTGCAAATGATGCAAATGCAGGGGGTGTTCACATCTGTTTGCACTAAAAGCTTGCCAAGTAAGCGTTTCAAGCATGACCAGAGTGTTCTTGGGATCCTTGTTACAACTGGAAGAACTCACTCATGTAAACTGTTCAAGACTGTTTCAGTGGACCGTTTCCCCTCCTTTCGCAAATCTCCAAGTCTCAAGAAAACAAGGCGTTGCAACGACTCCCGGGATTTGCACCATCCAGTTGGGTCGAGTTCTTGCAAGAAAATCAGTTCGACCCCAAGGGTCGCGGTGTGAAACTGTTTGAAACAGCATTGGGGCCGTCTTGAGATTCTGGTCTGCAGGACCTCAAGAATGCTTGGCATGATCCTTCACCTACACAAGCCCTCAATTCAGAGTCTACATACATTGTGTGAAATTATATGTATCTAATCCTCCCACACCTTCACCCCAAGTCGAGCGGAACACCTTTTGCGCTGCAATGTGCTGGCTTGGCTCGCCTTACTCCACCTCTACCATGTCAAAGAATCAGTGGTTTCCGCGCCTGAGCCCTATCAATCCACTCCCCCAACTCACATGCGTCAACGTCCAACCTGTGCATCTTCGGCCCCCCGGATCCCCCCGGCCAACCGACTTCGCCATCGCCGTTCTTCGCCGACCCCGGACACGTGTCGCCTTCAGTTGTTGGGGCTGCTTGCTGATGCGGTGCGCCTGCGCTCGCTCCGGAACGACCGGTCGGCGGTGACCGGAGCGGACGAAAAGGCTTCACTTCTACAGCGTCTGCAGAAGCTCGCTTCTTGGAAAAGGCTTCACTGTTTTTCAGGCTTGGCTGGTCAGTCCGAGTCAAACATGCTAAAAGGGATCTGCCCACTGAAAGTGGCAGTATGGTCATGGGGAGGACAGGGGGGCAGTCGCTCTCTTTCGGCTGGGTCCAGAATGTGGTGATCAGGCTCAGTGTCCTTTCCCCCAGTCAATTGCACAGCTTGCTCCAAGCCAAAGATATGATGTACAGGCTAAACACATGATCTTCTTGCTTGAAAGGAAACACCATGAGGATGTCGGGCCATGTCATTTTATTATGAAGAACGGCATGTCTGGATGATGATCCTGCCACATCCAGCTCCTCAGCTCTTTCGTCGCCCAGCTCAGACGGTCGGTCCGGCTCGCCCCAACGCTTTGCGCCGCTTCGTCGGCCGCGGTCGTCGTGCGGGGTTCGGTCCTGTGCCCGGCCATGGTCATCCCGTTTCATGTCAAACTGCACCCAGTCGCCCAACGCCAAGTCCTGACAGATCCAGGAAGACCGATCCAAGTCCATCCCGATGCTGTGCGTTCGAGGTCGAACGCTGTGAAGAACTGAAGAACGCGACTTGTGTGGTCTGAAACAACCCAGCAAGCCGCCACCCCGGAGTCTTTTAGTGGCTGGCTTCATTGACTGGGTGGGTGGCGATGATTTTCGAGTCAGTTGACCTGACCTGTGTGCCTCGACCTGACCTCAAGACATCCACAGAAGTACAAAAGAACAAAAGGTCTTCGAAGGTCGGAAAGAAGACCCGAAACCATCTCCTGTCCTTCCATCTCATTCCACCGAAACCATCCTCCCATTCCCATTTTTTTCTGTCCGACCTGCAGCTCGGTGATGAGCACGTCGCTGCCAAACTGCTTCTCCGCCGGCGAGCAGCGGATCCAGCCATAGCCTGGAGGACAGGACCGGGTGAAGCGACATGGGTTGGCTTGGTTGGTTTGGATATATAACTATACCTGGAACCTGAGTGACCCCTGTTTTGGAGGGTCAACTATCCAAAATATGGCCTTTTCCTATCAAAACAGGGGTCAAACGGGTTCTAGGTATAATATATGATGTCTTGAACATCTTGTGGAGTGAGCTCAAGTCGCCTTGCACCAAACACATCAAGTCGGTGCTAAGTGGATTGGGCATGATGTTGTTGTTCTAGACCAATCCACGGTCTACTGCTGATGGATTTAATTTGAGTAGACAAGCAGTTGTCAAATGAGTGCTGGCCACACATCTGGGGATCCGATACTGATGCAACTGGGTTCTTGATGATCAGGATCACTGGATCACCCGTGTGATGTTTATGAGCTTGTCGCTCAGTTCAGTTCAGCCTGTTGGGACTCCTGGAAAGAACCGAAAGACCCCCACCCAAAACCTTCGTCGGTGAAGTCTTCGACTTCTTCCTAGGCATCACGGCATCGCTCCCTGAACACAAGAGGATTTGAGTCGCTGATCAAGGTTTGAGCTGAGAAGGTGCGTTCGCATCGGCGACCAAATTCGCCCGGCCTTGGTCGACATTCACGTAGTTGACGATGCCCTCACGAGCGCTTCAGAACGCGCGTGGTTCCACGCGCGAAGACTCGGGCGAAGAAGCGAGGATCTTCGGTGGACTTTCAGCTGTTCCGCAACGCATTCGAAGCTGCTGTGACTGCTTGACTTATAGATACCCCCAAATGGATAGAAAAATAGATCACCACTCAAAAGGTGTTGCACCGTTTCTATCTATATGTGGGGACCAATAAACACCAGCAGTCCATGGATTCGGTAACTCGATACCTCGAGTCCTGTCTTGATTGCTCCCCTCAACAGCCAGTTATGGGGACTGAAGGCCATTGGTTCTCTGATAGAGCCCGATGCTTCACCTTTCAGTCGTGATCTATCCCTTCTCACCTGCAACACAGCATGATCAGGTTTGGAAAAAGATTGGGAAAAATGGGGGTGAATCGGGGGCAGATCCGAGGAGCTGTGTCCAAGTTGAAAGGTCAACCTCTTTTAAAAGGAGGCCTCCAGCACACTCTTGGTGGACCAGAATTCAAGTGCAAACCGAAACAAACGCTCCGTCGACGAAAGGAACATCACTCTCTTCGCGACGGCGGAAATCCGCAAGTCCGCCGGTCCTCCGATCTGGCCGGTGGGTTCCTGGAATCCTTCTTGAGCACCATGGTTGTCGCGAGCCCGTGTGGTGTTCGCGCCCGTGGTTCGAGCGAAGGGAGCGAAGAAATGCGGCTGAACTCGGTGCACTGAAGGTTGGGATGACAAGCTGAAACAAATGCCCCTCAGACCGGTGTTCTTTTTTGGGGGCGCAGGAGGAGTTGCAGGGGTCAAAGGATGTCGCAAGGGGTCAAAGGATGTCGCAAGGGATCTGGAAGAGCTTGGTAGATGAATTGTTTCAACATCTTTATCTATGAAAATGAAAACATGAAAACGAGCTTCAAGAAGCGGAGTGAAGGATGATAGAGCTGTGAAATGGCTCCTAATCACTCAAGTTGTTGAGCCAAAGGGCAGCTCAGCATTCACAGATATTCACACATTCCGAGACAAATGTTGCCTCTTGGATCCACGAATGCCGAAAGAAACTGAAAGTCTGCAGTGAATCACAGGACGAGCTCAACAGAAACGAAGGCCATAGCTTTGTCTCCAAAGCTTAGGGCCCATCTATATTCATGTTCATCTGCGTTTCTCCCTTGAAACATTTGGCCAATCTATACAGAGGTCTTAAGTCTTAACATCATTCTCGTGGATCAGGATAAACCTGGTAGAGAGGAAGTTGCGGAAATTCACAAAACCCTCCGCACACACAAGAAAGAACACGGCATTCAGTTGATCCATTGCTCTAAAACTTACAATGGCACAGTAGCTTTGAAGTCGATTCTCCTTTGTCAAACGATTGCACTCTTCATTTCAGCAAGTATGTTTCAAGAAATCGTGCTTGTCTTACTCTGCATCCTCCAAAATCCACCAATCAAGCAGCGCTCAACAGCATGCTTTGCTCCTCGCTGACCAGCTCAGCGCTCGTCTCGCCCTCTCACCGCCGTGAGGACCGCCCACGAGCAGGCACCGGAGCACGACATCGCTCGTAGGTGACACAGAACTCGGGATAGCATTGCTTGTCGTACACCACGAACTCCCGATACCTGGGCGACGTTCTGCGTTCGGTACAGGTGTTTCTTCCGGGCGGCGGCGACGCAGCCAAGAGCGAGCCCCACGAGCCCACCGCCCTGCCGTTGCGAATGCTGAGAGGACCCAAAGGTACGGGAGCCTGTTAGGCTTGTGAAGGTGGAAATGACAGGCATGGTACTGAACATGCACTCAAACCTTTGGTCGGTACATGCGGATGCTGAGACAAGCTGTTACGACTTCTATTGAACATGTTATGCTCACGTGAAGTCCTCAATCTAAACCACTGGCTCTGGATGGGTGGCTGTGTGCAGAATCTTCAACCAGTGGTGAAAAAGCGGGTTCTCTGCCGCGTCCGGACAAGCAGAAAACCTAACAAAGTTGCAACCTCCCTTCTTGACAGGGATTCAAGCTTCTCCACCACTTCCCCAAAGAGGCAGGATATGACATAAACCACCATATACTGTATTGTATCTCTCTCGGCAGCCAAGCTGCAGCTTCTCTCTCATGTCGATGCTCAAGCCCGCCATGACGGAATCAAAACGTTGGTGCGAGCAAATACAGCACGGCACCTGAGATCCCCGACACTCGAACTGGACAAATCGGAGGATCTGTCAATGCAGAACGCGTGTTTTTTCTAACCTAGGCAAGCGCAAACTGGACATTAAAATTGTTTGTTCAAGTCTTTTTTCAAAAGTCGACATCAGACATCGAAAAACCATGATTGCCATGCAGTGCTTGCCTGTTTCGGGCAAAGAGGTGGAAGACTCGTTTTGACGTTCAGAAGCCTTCAGTCGGCACACTTCCCATTATCTCCATCTGTGGCACTCCTTTGAGTCTCCAAGGGGTCGAAGTCGGTCGCAGGTCTTCGTTCCAGAGGAGGTTCAGATCGAAATGCCCTGTAGGAATCGAACACGAGATGCAGGATGGGGTGGTTGGGGTGGTTGGGGTGGTTGCTTGCTTCTGTGGTTGGCCGCCCTTGACCCTGGCCGCTGTTCGTCGATTTGGGTTCGCAGTGGGTTCGGCGACTCCGTCTCCCTGCGCTCGACTCGGAGCATGGCGAGCCTTCGGAGCATGGCGAACTACAGATTCCGGTCGTGACTCAGATGGAAGGTCTCGTGTGGCAAAACTAGCCCATCAACACTCTCGTACCATCTGATCGTCATCTGCATCCCCTTCTGGTCCCAAGGTAAGTGAACCCCAAATACCTTGCTACTAGGACTACCTTGCTACTAGGACAAGCGAGCGAAAACCCTTGTCTTGCCGGATTAAACCTCCTTTTCTCTGCACTCGAAGTGGCTCGTGGACACAATGCTGGTCCTCCCACACTCTTTTGGTCTATCCATTTCTGACCCGACCCAAGTGACCAAGGTGTTCTCTTCCAGCCAGGGAAGGATTCTGGCATCTGAGAACCCTCCAAAGAAGCCCTTCACCTCCCACCTTCAATGCATGGCGGCCGTCGGAGCTGTTCTAAAGAGAGCTCCGTCTTGTAGGGGCCTGGGCTCTGCTTGGAACTTCTTGTTTTTGTTGGACAAATTAGGTCACATTTGCTTGCTTGATTAGCTCACCGAAGAGGACTGCGACTCCTCAAGCCCTCTGAAACTTTGTCAGCTGAAAGGAAACTGAGGCGAAAAAAGTGGATGGTTTTGATACCGACCTGTACACCTTCATGCGGAGGTAGCAGCACCAGTGGTCCATACGCAACGATGTGTTCCTTTCTCTTTCCGTCAAGGCTTCTCCAGACATATGTTTTCTACCATCTTGACCACCTGAGCACTAAATAAATCTTATCGACAACATTCGACCATTGACCCGAACTTATTGCATCAAGTGCATCAGCGTCGTGCAGCAAAGGACAAAAAAAGCGTTGTGCACAACGAAAGACTCGGTCATTCATTCAGGACTTCTGACTTCTTTTTCAGACATGAAACCACAAAAAATACAAACAAAACATTGACCACAGTCTGCATGTCATTCTGTCAGCTCTAAAGATGCATGGTCTGAAGCTTCAAGTGGGTCAAATCCCCCATCTCCTGGATTCGAACCCCCCAGCCCACTCTCCCAAGCCATCTTTCCACCCGTGGCCATTCTCCCAAGCTAACCCTTCACCGCCTAGTCCTAGACATCAGCTCAGCTGCTGACCGCCCCAACCAAGATCCGCACATCCAAGGACCACTCTGGACAGAAAGATCGTGGCCTTCTGTCCCACACTGCACTGGCAGCTCAAGCAGCTGGTCTCAAACGCCACGAAAAAATCACGTGAACAGCTCGTCTCTGTGCAAGGATTCTTCCCAAGAAACCCAGAGTTTGTTGCGCCTTAAAGTTCACTCATCCTGCGATCTGCTGGATGTCCAACCCATGAAACGCGTAGGGAAAAACGCTTCGGACTTCTGACTGCACCACTCAGTTCGAACGGCCGTCCCGCCGAGGGCGGCCGTCCCTCCGGTCCCAAAACTTGCCAGAGCACATAGTAGTTGAAGGGAGAACCAGGCGGAGGTGGCCAGTGATACCTCACTTGGAAGCACTGAGACATGCGTGATCGCGCTGGGACCAAAGAGTACATCGTTCATCAATTTGAAAAGCGGCTTATCTTTGAACGTCCTAGTTCTGAATCTCGGGAGAGGTTGCCAATAAATTGAATAAAGGCAAATAAGATCAAACAGCTGAAATTCTCTCATATTCACATGGCAGTTGGGACCTGTTTGGTTTCCGACCCTCTCCCATGCTGCTATCACAGAGCTGGACAGACTAGACTTTGGGTCTGCTTGGAGAAGCCCAAAGAGAAAGCACTTCTCCTCGAAGAGAAAGCACTTCCCAGGCCAAAGCCTGGAACCCACTTCACTCCAGAAGACCTTTTCCTTTTTCCTTTCGGGGGGGACCACAACGGCCCAGGTATCCAGTAGAGAAGACGAAGAGACTGAGCCCCACTCCCAACTGAGCTCTTCGCTGCCCAGCGTACTGGTCTGCTTTGCAGGCCTGCGAGACAGCTGGGCTGACCGGCCACTCCAACCGTGCAAGGGCGTTGACTGACAAGACTTGATTCAACTAGAGTCAATGCCAAAAAGAATCTTTGAAAAGAAGGAGCAGACCAAAAATCAATGCCGCGTTTATCTGGTTCTTGTGTAGCCTGAGATTCGCAAAGTCAAAAAGGACCCACCCTCCATGGTGGAAAACTTCACCCGCTTCCCTCCCTTCTCAACAGCTGCCTTTTGGGCAAAGTAAACGCCGGAGCCGTACATCCCACGCACACTGCTGAGCCTGGCGCGAAAGAAGAGGAGGGGACAGGTCAAGGGGGGAGATAATGTGGAGGTGTCCCCTCTGAAAGTGGGAGGTGTTGGTCTTTTCTTCACGAAAGAGGTGAAGCAAATAGTAAGACATAGACCAAAGAATCCAAAGACATGGCTTCGCGGGTTCTCTCTTTCAGAACACCTTCCCAAATAAGATTCATCCATCGACTTCGGTGGCTGAAGAAGCTACGCCGATGGTGATCTGCTTGTTTGAGGACCTCCTTGTTTGAGCGTGAAGAATGGGCCTTTGAAAGGCCTGAAAAGAACGCTTCAAATCAACTCACCCGTAGGATGGAAAAAGGGGCGCCTAACCTCCTTTCACAACCCTTTTTCCCTGTGGATTGAAGTAATCCATGCTGCACCATTCGAACAACAACAACAACAACAACAACTACTACTACTACTACTGCTACTACTACTACTACTACTACAACTACAACTACAACAACAACTACAACAACAACTACTACTACTGCTGCTACTACTACTACAACTCCGTCCAACTAGACCAGACTCACCCGATCAGAGGACTGCCACTGTCTTGGGTGCAAAGATCTCCCCTTCCTTTGAACATGGTGAGAAACTGAACAGCACCCGGCGTACCAAATCGAAGCCATGCAGCGCTCAGCTTGAGCTCATCTCGTAGTACGGTTAGTTCATCCTCAATGAAGGGTGCACATTGGTACATCCCCATCAAGCTGCATCTTTTGAAGGACCGACCGGTTGACCTACCTGGAAGGCCAGGGCTCCAAGTCTTTGACCCATCCCCCAAAAAACTTCTCCCATGCCTGTCATCAAAGCCTGACTGCTTAATGGCATAGACCGGATTTTTGTCCTGCATTGGCTGGCGGAACGCAATTATCAGACCTCTCCGAAGATCCTTGAAACTCGGGGGAGAGGAGGGGTCACGGTGAGGGTTGAAAGAGCCTGGAGCCCAGCCCACCCTCAGAGGGCAATGCGAAAAACTGTTTGGTGAGATTAATGTCTTGCAGACACAGCTTCACAAAGTACAGCCAAAACATGACGCCATATCCAAGCAGAGTGGAGTGAAAGTACACGATGAGCTGGCATTTTTCGCTGTCGGATGAGCCCACTTCATCGGTCCTTTTCAGGGAAGATCACCTGCATCCGGCGCAGACGATCATCCGGTGCAGATGTGAACCCTTTGGAAGGCGCTCTTCCTCACTCTGACGACCCCAACCGACTGGACAACGACCGAACAGATTGAAATGCCCCGTCAAGTCGAGAGATTGGCTCAAAAACGTTGTGACTCAGTCGCTCCGAAAACCCTTAAACTTAACAGAGACATAAAGACCTCCAACCTAAGAGCGATGGCCTCCAACCTAAGAGCGGCAACCTAAGAGCGGTGGCCTCCAACCTAAGAAATATGGCCTCCAACCTAAGAGCGATGGCCTCCAACCTAAGAGCAGTGGCCTCCAACCAAAGAAATATGGCCTCCAACCTAAGAGCCATGGCCTCCAACCTAAGAGCGGTGGCCTCCAACCTAAGAAATATGGCCTCCAACCTAAGAGCGATGGCCTCCAACCTAAGAGCGGTGGCCTCCAACCTAAGAAATATGGCCTCCAACCTAAGAGCGATGGCCTCCAACCTAAGAGCGATGGCCTCCAACCTAAGAGCGGTGGCCTCCAACCTAAGAGCGATGGCCTCCAACCTAAGAGCCATGGCCTCATACCTAAGAGCCATGGCCTCCAACCTAGGAGCCATGGCCTCCAACCTAAGAAAGATGGTCTCCAACCTAACATGGAAAGTGCAGGATTCGGAAGATGGTCATCGAACAAGAGGGACGTGAATTTTCCACTTCCATGTTGACTGTCCCGCGACTGTTGGCGACCAAACTGAATTCATTCACCTGGCCATGCATGGCATTCCCCCCAACCTCGCCTCGCCGGTATTGAGGTTCACAGCACCCTGACCCGGGCTTCCATGGAACCTCAGACACCAGTTCTTGGGTCAGGAGTCAAGCCATGACGAGTCCAATCCCAGAAAGCCTGCAAAATGTAAGTGCGCCTAGAGTTCATGACATCCCAATCCCAACATAGTTCGGGACTTCACTTTGCTGTTTGCACACAAAAGTGCGACCCTCCCAAACACTAACCACCCCAGTGGAAGTGTGGGAAGAACATTGCAGATATGACAGCATGCAACCGAGCCTACCTTGCAACATCAGCCAAAGCTGAGGCGGCCTGGCAGGAGCCTCTCGTTCCTCTTCCGGTCCAGGCCCAGTGATTTGACCTCGGACGGACTTGCAGCAATGCCTGGGAGGAATAGCCTATTCAACAAACCCGTTGGGGGAATCGCGGCATGTTTGTTGTGCACATCCATGACTTTGAACCTGTTGGTTCGCTTACTCTCGAGATGTTCGCCTGGACATCGATAGACTGACTGGTCCATCGAGAAAGACCATATTGAAGGTACCTTCATCTGAGTTTAGAGTTTAAAGCCAGAAAGAATCCACAAAGCCTACATTCCCATCCTCCCAACTTGTATGCTGGAATTAAATTCATTGTTTTGGGATGTTTTTGGTACTCCTCCACTGCCCAAAAATAGCTGGGTCTCCAACGAAGTCCTTGATCATCGCAGCACCATGGAGCTTCTGGCGCCCCGCGCGCCGCGCGTTTTTAGGGGGGCGAGGAACCCTGCTGAACAAAAGGGGGGGGTATTCTGGAGGTCCTGACGCATCCCAAATCGAAAAGCTAATGATTCATCATGAGTCACGATATTCGCCATATTCACCATGTGGTCTGTGACGACATTTACTCATCGAAAGTATCTTCACCATATTCACTGGCGCCAGTCCAGGCTGCAGGGGCCTCGTCCTCCATGTCAAGCTCCTCACAGACACGCTGAAATCGACGGTGCAATAGGCCACACCACGCGAGACACAACTAAAATCGCATGCTGTGGAGGTTTCCCGACGTTCGCCGCCAGACTTTTGGCGAAATCCATGATCCATGTTCTATCTCTTTAGCCGTTCGCAGAGCTATCCGCATCCGCTCCATCTCCGTCGCCCAAGCGTCGAAGCATCGGCGCCTGGATGGCGTCTTCCGTCCGCTTTCGGAGGGCGGCCTGGAAAGCCGTCACTTCTGGTGACGGTGGGAAACACTTCAATTCGTGGGTTGAGAGCCAGAAAAACCGTCGTCACCGTCTGTGAGCCTTGACAAATGCCCAACTCCACGGCCCTACACTGGCCAGGCAAGAGTTATGCTTCTTGAAACTCAAACTCAATCCTACACTGGGAGACCAGGAACCGTGTGGGCGGTCATGTTTCAAAGCTTTTTATAACACGGTGTGATAATTGATCGTCCCATACCTGCCACAAAAATTCGGTCCGCCGCTGACCCTGCAGCGTTTTATGAACATGGCTAACAAGCATAAATATAAACTTTTGTCTGCCTGATGTATTACAGTATTTGAAATTATGACTTCTCTCTTTCCACCAACAGGAATAGAATGGCTGCCCGATCCTCGATATCTTCACCCACAATCCCCAACCTTAAGAATATCTGCAGAATCTGACTCTACGTCACGTCTGACTAACCATTCCGCTCCCGTCCTCCTCCCCTGAGCCACCCAACGCTCATCTCCTTCAAGCTTGCCTGGTGACGGCCAACCAAAGCAGGAGGAAACTTGATTGCTGGAGTTGGATGCACTTGTTCCTAGTAGCTTTCTTGTTAGTACTAGTAAGGCACTTGTTACTACTAGCGATGCACTTGTTTCAAATAGCAAACATTGGAGTTGGAACGCATTTCTGGACTTCATGGGATGTTCTCCCACCCCGACCACCCATTCATTCACCCTCAACATTTAAGTTAAGTACCTACTAGTAACAAGTGCATCGCTTCTAGTAACAAGTGCCTTACTGGTAGT